CTGATGAATGCACTGTAGTGGTTAAAGGTGCTGCTCCAAGAGCCAGCCTGCCTCATTCAAGTCCTAGATCTGCCACTGACTAGCTATACAGCCTGAAAAGTTGTCTCTCTTCTCTGTGCCTCCATTTCCTCTTCTATAAAATGAGGGTGATGATTAGAGCAGGACCAGTCTCATGATATTAAAAAATAAAGAAGGTAGAATATGTGAAGATAAAATGAGGAGAACTATTAGCTATTATTACTATTACTGAATAAACTACAACATTCTGAAATACCTTGTGGTGATTATAAATGATAACTCATATGAGGGAGCATTATGGACAAAATATTAATGACATCATTGTGCCCTCTTCATTCTGCCTGCCTCTTCCCTTGCCCTCTCTGGTACATTTTTTCTCAGCTGTCACACGACTGAAGGGCAAAACTAACCCTGTGCCTGCTTGAGCTCCCTAAAATGCCAAGAAGTGGCTCCACAGTTCTTTACCTCTCCTGCCCCCTCACCCAACCTGGCAGATGCCGACCCACCCTCCAAACTTAGCATTGCATCTAACGCCTCCCTTCCATGACAAGGGTGAACTCAGTTTTTCTGAATCATACCAATTGGAATGAGAGATAACAGGCTACTGGTCCTGCCTGCCCTCAAGGTCTGGGGCTCAGCCATGTATACAAATACTGCCAATGCTTTTCTGACCCCTTGATATCTCCCTTCCCTCCTTCAGCCCTTGCAAGGCAGCTGCCCCTTCTCTTGAGGCCTTGCTCTGCACCAGGGCAGGCACCACTGCTCTCAGGAATGAGTCTGGTGAGGTGTGAGCTGCAGAAGAGGGCTATACCATGTGCTTTGGAAGAGGCAGCCAGGAAGGGAGACCATGGAAGGACACTGGTACCACCCCACGTGGAGTTGCCCAATGTCCTCTCTGGTGCCCTCCCTCATTGCCCCTTCCGATCAAAGGCCCCATTTGCTGGGGGGTATTCCTGGGGCAGTGGCTCCAACAATACAAGTGAAAGAAAACAGCATCCCAGTTTTTCAGTCGGGGCTCTGCTACTAATTTCACCTTGCCTTGATCAAGTTGATTGACTTCAGTGAAATTAGGGGGTTTGAACCAGGCCAGAGATTTTCAATTGGAAAACATACTTCTGTGTGGCCTGGGTTGTAGTTTAGACTCCCCTCTCCAGGTAAGGGGCCTGGCAAGTGTGTTTCAGAAATTCACAATTAACTCTCATGGTCAACACTGGCCTTAAATTATGCATTCTCCGGTGAGTGCCATGGAGCTCACTCACTGTGAACTTGGGGTGGGATGGTTCTAGAACCCTAGTGCAACCTCAAGAACATGCAGCTGGTACTGGTTCCAGCAGAAACCCCCCACCCACCCTGGGCTGTATTCCCGCCCCAAGTCCCGCCAAGCTCTCTGCCTTTCCCTCTGGTGGAAGGAGGCTCCAGCGGGAGCCCAGGGCTTGCATCTTGGGGGCAGGAAGCCAACTTTGGTTTCCATCCAGTTCTCTCTTCTCCCCTCATCCCTCCCTGATCATCTGACTGCTCACATGAGGCCCAGAGTGGGGTGTGGCTGTTTTTAAGGCCTTTGGCATTTATTTCAGGGAGAAAAAAAAACAACAGCTAAACACACTAAAAAAAATTTCTCTCATTTGCTTCAAATTTGTATGAGGTAAGGGGATAATCATGCACACCAAGGCCCCTGTTGCTGTGGAGATCTGCTCTTTTAGGAATACTAGTAACAGCTCCCTACCTTAAGCTAGACACTATGCTAAGAGGCTTGATCTCATTTAATCTTGATGGTTAACCCTGGGCCTTAGGTACTATGATGATGTCTAAATTCACAGGTGAGGAAGACAAGGTTCAGAGACTTGCCTAAGCTTGGAAGTAGAGCAAAAATTATAGACCAAGTATTTCTTGACTCTGAAGCTAATAGTCTTATAGATGTATAACCAGACTCTGCCTTGGCCTCATCTGAGATTGTGTCCAAGGCCTCTCAGTATTTATTTAGTGCCTAGAAAACAGGCCAAAGTGACCCACTTTCCACAGAAAAGTTCCAGATCTCTCTTTCTCTCTTTCTCATCATCTCTCTCCCCTTGCAAAATGAGATACCAGGGATGAGATCTCTCTGGGAAAAGAAATAATATATAGTTTTCCTGTTATCTTTGTACTTTTCCATATGGCTTTAAAAAATCATGAGCATTTATCTTTAAAAACAGTAGTCATGAAGATGTCACTTTAAAAATGTATGTGGAGATTTATATTTATTGAGCATGTATTTAATTTAAGATCCTCTTTTGCTCTGCTAGGAAACTCCAAGTTGAACTTTGTGCTCAATTGCACATTGGGTATTTCACTATTGCAGGGCCTGGAGTCAGAAAACCGGGGTTTGAATCCTGGCTCTACCATGTACTATCAGGCAGCTCTTTGGCAAGGTACCCTCTGTGCTTCAGTTTCCTCAGCCTTGAAGTAGGGATAACGGTATCTGCTTCATAGGGTAGTTGTGAGGACTAAATTATACAGGTGAAACACTTAAACAGTAAATGTTTACAGATGTTAGCTATGCTTTAATTTTAACAGATTTTTATTTTCTGGATTTCATTGTTAAGCCATTTTTCAGGAAGGGCTCAAGGACATTATATCTCTTCACTTGTCTCATCTTACCTCACACTTCATTTACCACTTCTTTCTGATATCTTCTACTCCTGACATTATCTACAACATCCTGCCAACCTTTTTATTGTATATAAATTTCACTGACTTTGGATTTCATCAAAGCCTAGATGCCAGTGATTATAACCTGTACTGGAGTTTGTGCCACTTCAGAAAGAAAAACATCTGAAGAGTCCATCTCTTCTAAATACTATGCTAAATTACATGCTGAAATGAAAATAAATGCTAGTTTCAGAGATGTTCAAATGTGAAGGGATCAAATAGCAACTTTCTAATCCATGAATATAGTCCTTTATTCCTGACAAGGGCCCTTCCTGTGTATGAGCTGCCCCTCCTCCGCTGATTGGCATCTGTCTCAGCTGACCTGGGTCATTCTTTACTGGGCACAGAGCCACCCAGGTCACATCCAGACAAGTGAGTCTAACCTTGTCTGCACAGCTGGTGCAAGGGGCTCAGGTTTCTTCTGGATTTGGCAGTTTGTAACCTGGCCTGGTGTCAATCTGTAAAGACAGGGGCTTGAGCTCAGCTGACTTTCTCACCTCCAGGGGCTGTTTTGCCTCTTCCTGTTTCAGCTTACATGATGTGTGTGACACTGTTCCGTGGCCATTAGAGAGAGTAACCAGGCTCTGGAGACACAGTAACCGGAATTGAAATCCTGGATGTTATTTCTTAGCTATATGATCTTGAGGAATAAGTTGATCTCTCTGAACCTCCAGTTATAAACTGGGGGTATTGCTTGAGTTGTTGGCAAGCACCAGGAATAGCGATGGGAACTCGGCTAGTGCTCAACAAATGGTAGTAACAGAAGTTGAATGCCCACCACCTACCCGACACTGTACAGATCCTAAAGGAAAGCTAAACACTACTCATGTAGGGGTGGCATTATTACAGCAATTTTTATATCAAAGCTCTAGATGTTACAAGCTATTAAGCAACCATGGCAGCAATCACCCAAATCTTTCCTGGGACTGCAGCCTCAGCCAGCACTTCTGCAAAGTCCTCTGGGCAGCAGGCCCTGGTGTGAGAAACTGGGCCAACCTACTAGTGAATGTTCTCCTGATCTCAGGCCAGACGGGCCAAGCCTAGAAGGCTGGGTCTTTGCCAGTTTGGAGCAGAGTGACCTAGACTGTCTCAGGGAGCTGTTTCTCCAGGCAGCACAAGCTGGATGGGCTCACTCTGGGCCTCTCATCCAAACTCCCCAACCCAGGGATACTTCCATGTGGGCTGCCGGGAGCCAATCACTCATCTTGCCATGGCTGCAACAGTCATGTGACCCAAGTGCCAGCCAAGGGCAGAACCCATGGAAGAAGGCTGCTGGACCCCCTCAGGTCTAAGGCACTTGCCTTTTAAATAAGGCACCAATATACAAGGAGCAGGGCATATTTGAAAGGTCAAGAAAGTGGTGTGGAAATGAAGACTGACGGAAATTAAGAAAAAGGGGCAAGACCACACTGGGCTGGGGCAGCTTACCTGTGATCACCAAAGAGGCCATACATGTAATGGGCCCTAAACCCAAATATCTACAAGAATCGGGATGTCATTTGATTGCATAAAACAGGGAACCATGCTTATGTCACAAATAGGGGATGGTGGGAACAGCATTTGACTTGGGGACTGCAGACCCTTCCACATAGAAGGTCCATAGAATGTTTGCTGTTTCTCTTCTAAGCACAGCTGGTATCCTTCAAGAGAGGATTTGAAACCTATGTAACTTTTGTGAAAACATCCTAGGGGTCTTAGGGATAAGGAAACAGTTGGGAACATAAAGAAATACCTATCTGAGGACTCTAGCAGAACTTCCAGGAACATAAAGAAATGCCTATCTGAGGACTCTAGCAGAACTTCCATCTATGTTAGAAGTCTTTAGGAGGCATCACTGCTGGTCCTCTAGTAAGCTTCACCCGTGCTTTTCCTCAACAACCGAGGATGAATGACAGTATTAAACGGACACTGAGTCACGACTTAATGGATGAGCATCCCATTTTGTATTAGTTTAGAGCCAGTTAGGTTTAGTGCAAATGTATATGCCTTTATGGTTTACATTTTATATTAACCTCATCTTGGCTTGTTTATGTATCTATCACTCTTTCTCAGGTATTTCTAAATATTTATCATCCTTTTTTTTTCCCGTAAGAACTGAACAATTGGGAAACATAAACACAAAACAACTTGTTGGGAGGCACCACTTCATCCGTCTTCACTTCAAGGCATTTCAAGCCTATTTCTGACCTACAATAAATGATTTTTGTGGTTCATACTTTATTTTTGGAAAACAATTTTTAAAGTCATTTGTGCTTCAGTCTCATTTACAACAAAACAAAAATTATCACCATTCTCACTGTATTTTAAGTTTTCCTAGACAAAGTCTAGGCTTTACTCTCAGACCAAAAGAGCAATTTCTCTCTGGTATTAGACAGAGAAAATTCCTAGAACTCTCTCACCATCTGTAAAGGAGAAGCAAGGATAGTCATAGTTGTAGTCTCAAATAGGGAAAATAATGCTGGACTTAATCAAAATTGAATTAATTGTTCTTCCTTCCCTAACACCAGCCTCAATCATTTTTTCCCAAATCCTAAACTGTTAAAATAACAGGCATATGTAAATGCCAAATCACCACTACACAAAACTGCTCAGCAATCGACAATAGAAATAGATCACTTTATACCCAATTAAGACCAGGTATTTTACTTTTGGTTAAAAACAAGCTTTACAGAGCAATGGGCAGGTTGAGATTGCCTACTCATCTTCATTCCTCCTAAACATCTTACCATATATATAAGTCAAGGTTATGATGACTCTTTCTCCAGGTTGTAGTTTACTACCAACAACTTTTACCTCTGAGGACAAAGATTTAAGAAAAAAAAAAACCAATACATTCTGAATGGCTGCACTAACTGATTTTGAAACTGACATACAGTAGTGAACCTTAACTCTTACTATAGATACTATTTTTGTTTTATAATCTATAATCCTATAGTTAAAATGTATTCTTAGGCCAGAACCTGGTCAGAATTACTGGGATAAAATGTTTGTCACCCACAAACCTTCACTTGGATTAACCTGAAGGTTGGATTCAGTCTATGGCTTCTGGCTTTTGAGACAGTGTTTTACCTCACATACTTTTTCTTATCCCTGTGCCGGATGATGACTGCCGAGTCCTCTACACCTTCAAGCCACTGGCTCAGCCCATAGGCAGGCTAAGGTGTAGTCCAGCCTTCTTGGTCTTGCTGCCCTGAGGACAATGCAAACCAGTTGAATCCAACTTCACCTCACTCATAAGCAGGTAGGGGATTTCAAGGATCAAAATTTTTTTGCCAACCTAAGATCTAGTTACAGGTCTTAAAGTCATTTTCAATCACTTTAAGTCATTTGAAATTGTGGAAAGAGCTTAGCTGCTGAGTGTGAGCGGCATTTTCTATGTTCACATGGGAAACTAAAATAGGAAATCAAATTAGAACATAAATAGTATCTTGCTGGTTCCCCAAATGATACGCTTGTGGCAAAGAATAGGAGAGCGAGCAGCCAGTCTTTTAAAAATCACTGAGCTAGAATCTGACTGTCAGTCGCCAACCACACATTCCCTTCCTTCCTTTGGTCAGTCAAAAATGTTATTGCTACCATTTTCTTCTCAACAAATGGAAATTTTTAAGTGTGTTTCTACTTTACAAATTCTGTGATCTTTCTTTCATCTTCATACTAGTTTTCATGGGAAAGGTAGCAAGCAAATCTGGCCTCAGAGAATGTTATCTTCCAAAAATGCTTTTTTAACTTGATCAGATATGTTGAAGAGTAAATAATTTAATGGTGTGTAGAGTAATGGTATTTTATTATCACTTAAAAATTATAAAGCAGATATAAAGTAAAATGCAAAAAAGAAATCACATCAGGTTTGAAGACAAGATGCTTCTATGCTTCTTTTTGTAAAATACAAGTGACTCCCTAGAAGCAACTTAGGCAGATTTTCCACTGGCTTTCAAATTTATGACCTAAACTCTTGAACAGAGCCAATTATGAGAACTGCCAAATAACTCCTTAGTGGAAACAAGTTAAGTCTTCAAGAGCACACACGACTAATAAAGTTTTGCTTATTTTGCCTCTCCAAAGGGCCCACACCACTAGATTTTTCTTACGGCTACTGTACCCAGATAGGTTTATCATAAGCAGGTAAAAGCCCCTAAATCTTTTTCTTCTCATTATTTTCCTTTTTTTCTAGAGCTTTTCTATACTTTTAAGGTAAGCAGTAACAGTTCTCCCAGAACCACTGTAAAGTTGTTGAACTCATAAAGCATTAACTCTGAAGTAGTGTGCTATACTTGTGCTATTTATTACCCTTACTTAATTTGCTTACAGAAAGCATTAAACCTTCCAACATATTTAAGAAACATCTGCAAGAGTGGGTTTGTTTTTTTACAACTCTTTAATTAAAAATCTCAACAAAAATATAATTAAGCAATTTACATAACACACATTCTTAGTATCTGCAGGTAAGATTAACAGAAGGCAAAAACAGATATACTGTATTGCTTCTCTTTGGCAAGTCACCAATATTATCCACTTCAGAAACATCTCTTATGTGTAAAAAAAACAAAAGTAACAAGCAAAAAGCATGGCCTTAAAATAACTGTCCTTAGCACAAACAAAATATTCAGTAATAATACGGTAGATGGATTTTTCCAATTGACTAAATTTGTAATACCTTATACCACTGAGATTAAAGTAGCAAGCTCTATTCAAAGTTAAGGTCCATAGCAGTAGTTGTGGGCTGGGGGGAGAAACTCCTTTTCTAGGTATATTATCCTGGCTCTCTTTTCTATTTAATAATGTTACACTCAAACTCTACCCCTCAGATGCCATTCCTATAGAAAACGATCTTTTCCCTACACAAAAACTGTGTTTTCTTGCAGGTCAGTTGTCTAATGAACCCCCTCCAACCAAATACGCATTTTATATGAGGCAATTCAGCGTTCTTACGTCAGTATTTACTGTCTCACTCAGTGTCCATGAAATTAAAAAATTTCTTCCATTTGGACACTTTCTTGCATTTTACAGCAAAGATACATATGTGGCTCTATTGAAGCAATATATCCATGTTGGAACTAAAAGTTAGAAAAGCAAAAGAAGGGTCCATTCAACACATAGCAGCTTATACCTAAATATATACATGTATGTATATGTCTTCACAGTTACATTTTAGAAAAAAATTTACAATTGATATGTTCAGGATATCTCCTATAGTCTATAAATAATATTTTAAAAGCTGAACTGATCAAAATGCAGTACAAGAAAGTATCCAATTAAATACATCTTCTAAACCTTGAAAAAGTTATTTGAAGTCAGTAAAGCTTGAGGTTTGTGAAAAGTATGTCCTGTCAGTCCCTACTACTGGGGAAGAAGACTAGTCTTCTAAATATGATAGGAGAGAAACTCCAAAACTTTGGAAGGAATTGGCAGCCCCTGGACTTCTTGAGTGGACATCACTCTCCGGATTGACATGCGACATAAATGTTGAAGGCTGGGGACTTGCCTTGGAGTTGCCCCAAAATACACGCTTCCATCATGTGTCCTAAACAGAAACAAAAAAATCACAAGCTCAGTCACCCAATTACATGTATTCCAACATCCTGCAGCTCAATTTAAGGCTAGGAATTAGAGTCACAAACTATACATTAAGACTTAATTAAGGAAACCTAACCAATGATCTCCTTTATAATCCTATTATATATGATAGCATATAATATTATAACACTATATGATATTATGTCATACAATAATAGTACTACAAGGAACCCTTATGGAAGGAAGATCTACAGACAATAAAATACTGGTTACTCTGAATAAAGCTACCTTAAATTGCCTCTTGAAGAAAGTAGAAAAAAATCAACTTACCCTGCAGCTAAAACACTGCCATTAGTAGAAATGGCACAGCAAAGACCATTGCTCAAAGGTGCAACTTGCACTGGATGATCTTCACCAATTCTCCAGAACCTCACCATTCTAGAAAGGAAATCAACTGTCCAGTGAGTATCTAGTAGGATATTTAAGGTAAAAGCAACTTTCAAAATTCATAAAGAAATGCCACTCAGATCTGGGTCACAAAAACACACACACCCACATGCACGGATCACTGCTGCAAGCAATTACTCTAGCGTGCTTTATAGAACATTTTATCATCAACACCCACAGATAATTTGGATCAACTCAAACTGAGATTATAATGAAGGGCTGCCTTCCCTTCCCAGTGCTCAGATCTATAATGCTCACAACCAGAAGCTTTCTTTCTTACACTTAAAACACAATCAGTATCTGATCTGTTTTACTCTCTTATCAAGACATTTATAAAGCTTTTTCACCTAGGTAGAGTATGTCTAGAAACAGCAGACAACTGATATTCAGAATCTATCTGAGCAAACAGGAAAACAACCACTACTGGTAAATAAATAAGAACTCTCCCTTGTATGTTTGCTAACATTCTGGAAAGAAGACAATGAGTCACTTTCAGAACTGATGTGACCAATTTGCTTAATGCTTTATCCATGGACACTGTATGATAAAAGCATAAAATGGAAAGGCTACATCTAGCTTCTGCTTCTTGTTAATAAGCAGCAAATCTCACTCATGTGACATTTTATTTTTTAGTTTCAATTGCAGTGGATACAATGTACTCCCATTTTACCATTTATTTCATTTTGAAAAAGGCCTTCTGCTTCAAACCTTTATATTACTGAAAAAAAAAAATCTATGAGCCACTGTAGAAGTAATTAAAAATTTCCCCAGCCTGCCTAAACAAGTTAACAAACAAGGAACACAGGAAAGACATACATTATCTTTTGTTTACATGGATACTACTGAGGCTGGTATTCTTTAAGATACACCATCTCCCAAGGTCTTGTCTAGAGAAAAGACATTAAAACTGAAACTGCAGGAAGGGCTTTGTTTTTTTAGCCTAAAGAATGTTTTCATTAAGTAGAAGGATGAAAGGAAATCTTTTAGAAGACAGTAGTAAACATGTCAAGCTATAATTTACACACTTACTTATCATCAGCAAGGCTTGCAATATACAGTCCATCATGACTAAAAGATACAGATAGCACCTATCAGTCATTTGCTCCTCCAGCAAATATTGGAGTGGGTGGAGGAAACAGGTGCCTGGGGTCAAATGTTTTCAGTGAAATGAGAGCCACTTCAAGAAACAAAACTACCCAGGTACAAAGAATCTATCTTAGAATAATGCTTAAATTAAAGGGGCCTTAATGAAGACAACTGAGAAGACTGAATAGAGTTGAATTACAAGAATGGGACTTCAAAGAATTACTAATCTCCTTTTTACAATGTGTTAAGACACTAAGATGAAGTCCAACTTTAGTTTTAACTATTTTTCCTCAACACGTAACTCTAATTACCACCTCCACAGTTGTGTATTGTTAAATAACAAGATCTGTATCAAGAGAGACAAAGGCTTAAATAATACCAAAACTTTTAAATTATGAGAGAATGTAATTTTAGGTTTCAAAATGTGATTCCATCATTCATGTGACCTCTTAAAAGCTATACTGATAGGAAAAGATGAGTTACAGACAAAAACAATTTGTGCTGTGCCCACCCCAATTCCATCAGAATGTCTCCAGTGTGTGGATTCCAGATATACACTCGAGTATCATAAGATGCAGTAGCCAGCAATGCTCCGTCAGGAGAAAAGTCGCAAGCTACCACATCATGGTGGTGTCCTTCAAGTTTCCGTATCATGGTGTATTTCTCCATATTCCACAGGAAGACCTGCAATAAAAAAACAAATGTTACAGCTCCATTCAGACACACAGAGGACAAAAATGGCACATCTTAAACTAAAATGGCTAAATTTAATTAAGATATTAAATTAAACATTACAAATTATGAATAATTTTAAAATATGCTCAATGTCATAGATTTAAAAAATCAGTCTTTAAGTTAATTAAATAGACATGCAAATTCTATTTCAAGTGTTTCTGTTAAATGTTAATTTAAAAAATAAGCCTAAACATAAAAAAGGCAATGCAATTTAACCACAAAGTTATACTGAAATCCATTTATTCCAAAAACTAATTAACTAAAATATACAGAAATAAATAGGGTTAAAGTACTGCAAACCCCCTTCTTTTGTTTTTCCAGAAACTACCAAATTTTTAAAAAATATACAGACAGAAAATGTAAGGTTAACAAATTGTTACTCCATTGGCATCTCCCTTTGAGATAATCACTTGTTTACAGTAGGCTTGGGTCACCAACGTGAGCCTAGGAAGAGAAACAGATACTGCAAGCAAAGAGAATTTTCACAGCCGAATGAAATTTCTCTGGCAAACAACAAGGATTTTTAAACCACATTACAAAATGAACATGCTAATTTATGAAAATAACACAATTAACATTCTGTGTGTCAAGATTTGCCAATCTTATTTTTCCCAAACTGACCACAGTCATTAGTCATTGTAAGTATAAAACATTTAAATAACTTTAGTACAAGTTCATATAGATTTAGATTCTAAATATCAGTAGTTAGTTAGACTGTGCAGAATAGCTCTAAATAGGATTCTAATGTTTACTTCAGTCTGTTATATTAAATGTGAGCTTTGAGGTTTAGAACAATCCTAATAAAGACAGTCTCTCCCCTTGGAGTAAAGCAATCCATTTTGCTACTTTTTTCTGCACAGATACAATATACATTATTTCCAAAGAAAAATAAACACAAATTTTAAAGTGGATCAAAGACTTAAGGTATCTCTAGCATCTCAGAGAATTCCAAAAAACAGCACAGAGAAACCATCTGAAAGCCAATTACATTAAATTAAATTGGTTTCACATTTCAGACTCCCAATTCTATCAGACTGGAGATCAATTTACTCGGAGGAATCAGTGGGTTTCACTGTGGGGCAAATTATTTTTAAAAAGAAAAAAGGAAAGAAAGAAAAGCAGGAAGTGGACATCAACCAGCACCTGTGTACGTACAGTATACCTTGCAGCCGAATGCAAGGTTACTTCATCCTACGGTAAAGGTCGCCCCAGCCCCGTAGCCAGAGATGCCACTCTTTCTGCCCGGCTAACACCATTGTGCGCCTGTGTGCAAGTGGTGCCAGCATAACCTCAATCATACCAATATTGCTGCCACCACCTGTGACAGGGAAAGCAAGAAGCATATGGAAAACACACAGCCTAAAATAGCAATGTCAACATCTAGCTTTGCTGTTCTTACGATTTTAAAGAACTGTTTTTTTTTCTAAACTTCCAGCATTTGCAACTATCACTTTAACATACTTCTTGGCTAAATAAAATGCATTTTAACCAGCGTCCACCCCCCATTAATTCCAAGTGTATTGTGATCATCACATGTATTTGGACTTAACCATTTTCATAAATACCTTATGCTAGTAAGATCTCTTTATATTAATTCAGAGCTGCTAGACAACTAGAGTTCATCAATAAGCATACTCTTCATAGGAGTCACTTTATACCTTATCTACAGGTATGCTATGTATGACAGACCCTATTAATTTCATCTATAATTCACTCTAGGACATACATGAGTGCTATTTTTATTCTTACTGCATTTTTAAGTTACTCTTCAGCTAAATGTCCAGGACCAGCTGGGACTCAAAACTTTTAAAGAGCAAACTGGACAAAAAAAAATAGAACAACAGAGAAGAAAATAATTAGCAAGGGATGTCTTAACATTAGGACTAGATCTCTTATAGAGCACATAAACTTTTCCTAGATCTTAGAAAAAAATTAATTTGACATGTCCCTTATTTTATGAATATCATCTCTAACTAAAGGCAATCCAACTTCTCACTTCACAATCCATAACTGTATTTCTCTTAGGCAAATTCTCCCCCATCATGAAATAAAACATTTAAGATATTCATGACACCGAGCACAGACTTAATAGGTTACTTAGATTTAAAGTGATTATGCACACATTATTGTAATTCAATTCACAATGAATGTACAAGAACTCTGGCACATACTGCTTTACTGGCTCCCACTGAACACAGCATAGAAGAGTCAGGAGAGAATACGCAGCTATACACCCAGTTCTGGTGGCCCCTCAATATTTTCATCACGTTTCCTGACAAAAATGAATACCAAATAGAATCCACATTAAATAAGTGGCATTTCAAAAGTGGCAGAATCATAGAAACACAAATTTCAATAGAGGCAATGATCTAATGACATTTTATTTTTTAGTTTCAATTGCAGTGGATACAATGTACTCCCATTTTACCATTTATTTCATTTTGAAAAAGACCTTCTGCTTCAACCTTTATATTACTGAAAAAAAAACCTATGAGCTGCTGTAGAAGTAATTAAAAATTTCCCCAGCCTGCCTAAACAAGTTAACAAACAAGGAACACAGGAAAGGCATACATTATCTTTTGTTTACATGGATACTACTGAGGCTGGTATTCTTTAAGATACACCATCTCCCAAGGTCTTGTCTAGAGAAAAAACATTAAAACTGAAACTGCAGGTAGGGCTTTATTTTTTTAGCCTGAAGAATGCTTTCATTAAGTAGAAGGATGAAAGGAAATCTTTTAAAAGAGAATAGTAAACATGTCAAGTTATAATTTACACACTTACTTATCATCTGCAAGGCTTGCAATATGCAGTCCATCATGACTAAAAGATACAGATCGCACCCATCGGTCATTTGCTCCTCCAGCAAATATTGGAGTGGGTGGAGGAAACAGGTGCCTGGGGTCAAATACATGTTTTCAGTGAAATGAGAGCCACTTCAGGAAACAAAACTACCCAGGTACAAAGTAATCTATCTTAGAATAATGCTTAAATTAAAGGGGCCTTAATGAACACAACTGAGAAGACTGAATAGAGTTGAATTACAAGAAAGGGACTTCAAAGAATTACTAATCTCCTTTTTACAATGTGTTAAGACACTAAGATTAAGTCCAACTTTAGTTTTAACTATTTTTCCTCAACACGGAACTCTATAACTACCACCTCCACAGTCATGTATTGTTAAATAACAAGATCTGTATCAAGAGCAACAAGGGCTTAAATAATACCAAAACTTTTAAATTATGAGAGAATGTAATTTTAGGTTTCAAATGTGATTCCAATCATTCATGTGACCTCTTAAAAGCTATACTGATAGGAAAAGATGAGTTACAGACAAAAACAATTTGTGCTGTGCCCACCCAAATTCCATCAGAATGTCTCCAGTGTGTGGATCCCAGATATACACTCGAGTATCATAAGATGCAGTAGCCAGCAATGCTCCATCAGGAGAAAAGTCACAAGCTACCACATCATGGTGGTGTCCTTCAAGTTTCCGTATCATGGTGTATTTATCCATATTCCACAGGAAGACCTGCAATAAAAAAACAAATGTTACAGCTCCATTCAGACACACAGAGGACAAAAATGGCACATCTTAAACTAAAATGGCTAAATTTAATTAAGATATTAAATTAAACATTATAAATTATGAATAATTTAAAAATATGCTCAGTGTCATAGATTTAAAAAATCAGTCTTTAAGTTAATTAAATAAACATGCAAATTCTATTTCAAGTGTTTCTGTTAAATGTTAATTAAAAAAATAAGCCTAAACATAAAAAAGGCAATGCAATTTAATCACAAAGTTATACTGAAATCCATTTATTCCAAAAACTAATTAACTAAAATATACAGAAATAAATAGGGTTAAAGTACTACAAACCCCCTTCTTTTGTTTTTCCAGAAACTACCAAATTTTTAAAAAATATACAGACAGAAAACGTAAGGTTAACAAATTGTTACTCCATTGGCATCTCCCTTTGAGATAATCACTTGTTTACAATAGGCTTGGGTCACCAACGTGAGCCTAGGAAGAGAAACAGATACTGCAAGCAAAGAGAATTTTCACAGCCAAATGAAATTTCTTTGGCAAACAACAAGGATGAAAATGCTATGCTATGAAAATACTAATTTTCATAAATGAAAATGCTAATTTATGAAAATAACACAATTAACATTCTGTGTATCAAGATTTGCCAATCTTATTTTTTCCAAACTGACCACAATCATTAGTTATTTTAAGTATAAAACATTTAAGTAACTTTAGTACAAGTTCATATCATTTTAGATTCTAAATATCAGTAGTTAGTTAGACTGTGCAGAATAGCTCTAAATAGGATTCTAATGTTTACTTCAGTCTGTTATATTAAATGTGAGCTTTGAGGTTTAGAACAATCCTAATAAAGACAATCTCTCCTCTTGGAGTAAAGCAATCCATTTTGCTACTTTTTTCTGCACAGATACAATATACATTATTTCCAAAGAAAAATAAACACAAATTTTAAAGTGGATCAAAGACTTAAGGTATCTCTAGCATCTCAGAGAATTCCAAAAAACAGCACAGACAAACTATCTGAAAGCCAATTACATTACATTAAATTGCTTTCACATTTCAGACTCCCAATTCTATCAGACTGGAGATCAATTTACTCGGAGGAGTCAGTGGGTTTCACTGTGGGGGAAATTATTTTTAAAAAGAAAAAAGGAAAGAAAGAAAAGCAGAAAGTGGACATCGACCAGCACCTGTGTACGTACAGTACACCTTGCAGCCGAATGCAAGGTTACTTCATCCTACGGTAAAGGTCGCCCCCAGCCCGGTAGCCAGAGATGCCACTCTTTCTGCCCAGCTAACACCATTGTGCGCCTGTGTGCGAGTGGTGCCAGCATAACCTCAATCACACCAATATTGCTGCCACCACCTGTGACAGGGAAAGCAAGAAGCATATGGAAAACACACAGCCTAAAATAGCAATGTCAACATCTAGCTTTGTTGTTCTTACGATTTTAAAGAACTAAGTATCTTTTTTTCTAAACTTCCAGCATTTGCAACTATCACTTTAACATACTTCTTGGCTAAGTAAAATGCATTTTAACCAGCCTCCACCCCCATTAATTCAAAGTGTACTGTGATCATCACATGTATTTGGACTTAACCATTTTCATAAATACCTGATGCTAGTAAGATCTCTTTATATTAATTCAGAGCTGCTATGACAACTAGAGTTCATCAATAAGCATACTCCTCATAGGAGTTACTTTATACCTTAACTACAGGTACGCTATGTATGACAGACCCTATTAATTTCATCTATAATTCACTCTAGGACATATATGAGTGCTATTTTTATTCTTATTACATTTTTAAGTTACTCTTCAGCTAAATGTCCAGGACCAGCTGGGACTCAAAACTTTTAAACAGCAAACTGGACAAAAAAAATAGAACAACAGAGAAGAAAATAATTAGCAAGGGATGTCTTAACATTTGGACTAGATCTTACAGAGCACATAAACTTTTCCTAGATCTTAGAAAAAAATTAATTTGACATGCCCCTTATTTTATGAATATCATCTCTAACTATATGCAATCCAACTGCTCACTTCACAATCCATAACTGTATTTCTCTCAGGCAAATTCTCCCCCATCATGAAATAAAACATTTAAGATATTCATGACACCGAGCACAGACTTAATAGGTTACTTAGATTTAAAATGATTATGCACACATTATTGTAATTCAATTCACAATGAATGTACAAGAACTTTGACACATACGGCTTTACTGGCTCCCACTGAACACAGCATAGAAGAGTCAGGAGAGAATGCGCAGCTGTACACCCAGTTCTGGTGGCCCCTCAATATTTTCATCATGTTTCCTGACAAAAATAAATACCAAATAGAATCCACATTAAATAAGTGGCATTTCAAAAGTGGCAGAATCATAGAACCACAAATTACAATAGTGGCAATGATCTAATAAAAATGGGGTTGGCGCATAAATCTGCAAAGAAGTAAAAAGCTAACCTTTGCAAACAATATGGCTTCTCTCTCACTTACCAACTTTACATTTCCCTGTATTGCCCCGGAAGATGACTGGTTAGCCAGAGACGGGTAAGATTCCTCAAGGGAGGAACAACCTAAGACAGGCACAGTCGCAGGGGGGCCATCAGGTGAGAATTTGGGGATCAACAGAGGTGAGGCTCAGAACCTCACCCCCCCTGCTTTGAGAGAAATCTTCTGCATCCGTGGATGTCTTGCTGCCCTTGTCTAGCCTGGATTAATACTTAGTCCATAGGCACACACCTGATCATCTGATCATCTACATTTGCCTTCTTACAGCACTAAACTATGTTTTCTACCTTTATCTTGCATCTACCTACCACTTCAGCATTTTATTAAAAATAAAAATAATAATAATAATAGGAGAAATGTGGGATCAACATATAAATCAAGTACAAAAATCAAACGAATATTCATATTTGACCTGATTGTTTATAGGTCATATTGCATGATCAAAACCGAAAGTTTCTGTGATGACTGCCCTTGTACTGTTCACCATGTAAGAATTTATTCACTATGTAAGAATTCGTTCACCATGTAAGAACTTGTTCGTTATGCTTCAGAAGATTGGAGACTGACGAGAATTAGGCTTGAGATGGATTAATGATTGTACATTGAGCGTTGACCCCCCTATACTGAATTTTATTGTTTTTAACAACCATTTGATCAATAAATATGAGAGATGCCCTCTCAAAAAAAAAAAAAAATTAGCTGTTAAGTCTGGGGAGGGGTCTAGATTGGTTCCCTGCATGGCTTTCACTACCTGTACTGATTTTTATTTTTCATGTGATTTTTGTTTCATATGAAATAAATATAAAAAACAAAAAATAAATAAATAAATAAATAAATACTACAAAAAAAAAAAAGATAAGGGTGGTATGTTACAAGTTTTGTAAAATTGTTACACACAAAAATAACACTGTGTATTGTCTATGGCATGCATGCAAATATAATAAAACCGCAAAAAAATTAAAAAAAAAAATGGGGTTGGCAATATATGCCAGTTGATTAATTTTTTAACCAAAGTTTTATTGGAACATAATCATGCCCATTTATTTATTCATGTTGTGCTACAATGGCAGAAGAGGGAAACTATGGCAGAGATAGGCTGGTCCACAAGCCTGAAATATTTACCATTTGGCCCTTTAAGATAAAGTTCACTAACCCTTCATCTACAGAAGACAGGATTCTTTTAGTCTAATCCCCTTATTCTACAAATGAAGGATCTGGACCACAAGGCTGAGACTTTATGAACATCTTCAAAATGCCTTTTTATCCTTTTTCTTTTTTGATAACCTACATTCCACTCCAAAGCACACAATTATGTCTAAGAATTTTTAAATACTTAATGCCTATTATATGCCAGGGACTGAGCACACAGCTTGTGAATAAGGAAAAGCTCCCTACTCTTTTGGAGCTAAAAGTTTACTGAGTCTACATTCTTAAAACACATGCACACAACTAAAAACATGTGGAGAAAGGTACCACTTGATATGTAAAAGAAAATAAAATTTTAATTATCAAACTGTTTTAACTGTTGGAATCTTTTCACCCCGTCGCAGCTGAACAATGAGAATGGCTAAAATGTAGTTGAGGCACCTCATGGTTTGGTAATATATTAGTGCATTGTTTTATCAGGCAATGTCACTACCCATCAGCTGTAACAAGTCTCCAAATCTGAGGGTTTTATTCCCTGCTACATTCCATTTAAGCTACATTACCCTTAAGCAGGCCTGTCCATCTCCACCCTGAGGCTGTTAGAGTAGTAGCTGATTTTATTTAAACATACAGTTTTAGTTAAAACTATGAATTTTTTCATTAGAGGCTGAGAAGGTGGAAGTAATGTTCACCTTGGTCCTCTCAAACAAGGGACACTCCCCAAAACTTTGTAAGCATCACAATTAAAAAGAAAAACCTGAGTACTTGACACACTGATGTACCTTTAATTATACTGAAGGGCAAATTCTTTTACTTTTTATAAGATAATTTGTTGCTTAACGTATCCAACTTACTGTTATGTTTATTAGCATTTACATGTTACAAATTCTGGTGTGTAAACCGTTTTAATCTAAATTTTATTAGAGTACTAAATTATAGTTTGTTACTTCAAGATCTACTTAAATTTTCACTAAGCAAAATGACAAAAGTTAATTACCCTCACTAGATAAAAGGAGATAAATTAACACAGACCAGTTCATATAAAACCCCAAACTGATCCAGATTTTGTCCTTAAATAGTTTATATATATCTGTGTCATTAGTTTCTGAATAATATCAGGCTGTTTAACCCCTGGCTCCTATTCTGGGTCACCTTTATGGTTTCATCTGATCTATATAGGGAATGGGACTAAAGGATTAAGCATACAAAATGAAACTTTAATCATATACCACTTTTAAAATCAAATGTCCCAGACGATCCCAGATACCTCTCAGCAGTTATATGAAGAAACTCATTCTTTTTCAAAGCCTGGAAAAAAAGACATACCATCATCTTTCAGGTCCCACACTCTCAGAGTTTTGTCTCTTGAGGCTGACACTAGGATCAAGCTCCCATCTGGAGCAAAAGTTAAATCTCTAACCACTTCAGTATGATCTACCAAGTTAAGGAGGAGTTTTCCTAAATGCAATAGAAGGGGAGAAAAGAAGACAATGTTAATCATTTTTATCAGCTTCTATTTCTTAAAAACAGGGTTCCTCACCATTAAAAAGAAATGAGTAGGAATACTTGGGCATCTCCACTTAGGCATCTCCTTAGTTTATCAAGTATTACATGACTTATTGGTAGTACTTTTATTATTACCTTTAAAGATTCTCTATTTACACTATTTTAAAATGTACTATTTCCAGGATAGTAAAGCCTAAATTTATTAGAAATGTTAAAATGGAATTACTGTAATGTAAACAAATTCCTGGATCAAGTTCATTTAATATCAAGAAAACAAATCATCATTTTCTAATTATATAGTATGATTTAAAAAAAAAAAACAATTTTTCTCCTTTTTTCTTTTCTTTGGCCTAGATTACTAATGGACTGTCAAACTCCCCAAAAGATGTCACAATAACCTAAAATTTCAACCATAATTTCTGCAAAGTGTACTTTAGTCATCTAATATTGTACATTTTATATTCTATGAAGATCTATGTGCTTACGTTAAGTATTTTTCAAGAATCCAATCAAATTTACTGACTCTATCCTCACTCAATGTTAGTATCACTTGCTGCTATATTGCTCGTTTCAAACTGTCCTTCAAATTTCATACTGCATGCTATCAGCCAGAAGCTGTTTTAGGTGGTGAATAACATTTATTTTAATTGCCCAAAGAATTTAACTTCTCAACCTATCCAGTTAAACTTTAGGTACAATGTCACTAAAACCTTCCAAAGGTTAGATAGTGACTGCTGAAAACCAGATTTGCCTTGAAAACCTCCACAATAACAATCTTTGAAAAAGCACTTAAGAGAACACCTTGCTATTTGAGTCATAAACTAAATTGCTAGTTTATAGGTGATAATTATCTAAGCACTCCTACATGCCCTTCCTGCTATAACACACTCTAAAGAGTGATTAAGCAGCAAGAACTCTATTTTCCTGAATTAAAACCATGAGCTGAAGATGCTATTCAGGCCAATTATAAATATTCACAGCACCAATTCTTCCTTTTCAGTAAGTTAAAATCCTCAAATCATATATTCTAGTGCTATGAGCAATGCCCTGCATCATAAAACAGGTTTGCTTTTAAAACTATGACTCCATACCTGTATATACATCCCATATTTTGATACGCCCATTGTTTAACCCTGTGGCAAGGAGTCGCTGATCTTGTCCAAATCTGAATCGATGCCATTCTATATTTACACAGCAACTCTGTTTTTCTGGAACTGAAGATCCAAAAGCAAGACTCCAGACTGTATCACCACAGTCTATGATATGTTCACGAGGCTTATTTTTTTGACCACCATCACTATTTTGTCTTGACAATCTCAAACTGCTTGAATTGGTGATATTCTTGGTGCCATGCAGAAGACTAGAATGGAAAAAAGGTCAGATTGAAATCTAGGTACTATTTACTCTGGACTCCTATGGATACTAAACGATGACAAATGTTTGTTAAAATAACAGAATCCTATAGATGGGAAGAGGAAAAGTTGCTTTTAGCTATGACAAAATAAAGTCAGATCAGAAGGGCATGATAGAATAAATTCAGATCAAAAGAAATTCTCTGGCTGAGAAAAAGTTTCACAATAAAATGATTTATAATTTATTTTTTTAAAATTTTTCCTCAAAACCACTATATTAGAGCTCTTTTAATTAATATAAGGATAAACAAGCAAAAATAAAAATAAAAACAATAAAAATCCAGTAACAACATATGTGAAGCTGACACCAGAACATAATCAGTAGTTTAACATACTTTCTATACCTAACATAATACATTATGAGGACTTCAATGAATCCAACCATGAAAGTCGATTACATTCAAAAGAGCTGGGAAAGATTAAATTTAGTGTTCAATACATTTTACTAAAACTTTTCAACAAATATTGACACTCAAATAAAAGCAGAGGGTCTATAAGTAGATGAAAAATTACATTATCAATGCACCACTGTTATCTAATAAAATGTTGTAAAATCCAAAAAGCGCCTCATAACAAAGGTCAACCTGCCCCTGCACACCGCAATATACACACTTTTAACACACAGAAAAACTTAAAAGACACAAAAGTATCTGAGAATGTATTCCGTAATATCTAAGGCCAGACAATTCTTCCAACATATTTTCCAATATGAATATTTAGCTTATGATTAAAAAATATTTATAAGTTTACAAAGGAAAAACCTTAACATCAATATCTTTTTATTACTCCATACAGAGAAAACAGAACATTCTACGAACAGACATAAACTACAAAAGAAGTAAAGAATCTTACAAGTTCTTTAGGCACTGGGACCACGGAACAAGCTTTACTGTACGATGTCCTTGAGACCAAGCAAAGTATGAACCATCTGGAGCAAAAGCAACAGTCCAATTTTCATGACCACATTTCTTGTCAAAAGGAGATGCTGGAGCTAAAAGTTCACCTATAGTACGTGATCTCACTAAAAACAAAAATGAAAATACAGGGTATCACATATAACCAACAATGAACTTGAGACTGCCTCCACATTACCTTACGACTCTTTTGATTCCATGGAATTTTTCCCTTTTCTATGCAGACAAGGCATAATGAGTTCTGCTTTCCACCCCTACTAAAATACTGGTTCAAACAACAAAGACCACAAAACAAGCTAATTTGCTCTTGAATATAAAATTCAAAAAATGTGGCCACCATTAAAAAAAAACAAAAAAATTCCAAATATATAGATGCTACACCTTTCCAAGTGTCCTATTAATAATTACCTTGGGGTTCCTTGCATATTAACAGGCATATCATATGATCTTTGCATTTTAATCAAATTATTTAAATACTCATTTACATACAGATACAATATTATAAACTAGTACAAGGCTTGTAATGCAGTGCTTTGAAAAAAATCTTTGCTAAATCCTTATTACCTGCAACTGTTTAGTGTTAGTAATCTTAGAAATGTATGATTTAATGACCTTGTATAAGGGAAAAGCTGCCTGCCATGGGAACTTGGCCATAAAGATACAACACTACATTATTAATGTCTGGACAGTAGTAACACACCATCTGAGTCATGGCCAAACCAAGCAAACCAGATAAGCTCCTTCACATTCCTCCCTGCAATTTCATAACCATCAGAAAGGGAGGATCTGTGGTAGTGTCTTGTGAAAGAGGGCAGTAACTCCCTGTCACACAGACTTCTATTCATGGCATCTTGCCTTTACTCTTTCCATATGTACTTGAGAAACCAAACAGCTTATAATACCCAAGAAAAAGGGTAAAAGTCTCATTGATACAAATCTACACAGAAGTATCAGTGACTCTTGTATGCAAATGATAATCAAAAAAAACAACCCACCTTCCCCACTCCAAAACTGGGGTTTAAAAAAAGCTTTCTGCTTAGAAAGGTTCTTTTATATATTTCGCACTTAGTAACTTTGTACTATATCCAGGAAACAGGAAATAACACTGAGACCTAAATATGCAAAAAGAGTTTTTAATTAATACGCTTCTTAGTAGATGGTTCTTCTACCTTATGCAGGGTGCTAAAAAGCTCTATTTATTCCTTAGAAGAGAGGACTGGAAAGTTTTTTAAAAGGTTCATCAAGATGAAGTAAAAAGATAAATGAAAGCCTATTGCCCATCTGTAGTACTATTGTGTAGTTGATAAAATCAAACCAATCACTGGACTGAGAATAAGAATTGTTGAGTTCTATGTACTTTCAGGATGTACTTTCTAGTCAAATTAAAATCTGGACATGGATTTTTTTCTCCGAATGTTTAAAATGGTTATTAAAGCCAGGGTTAAAGTCCTCTCCCAACCTGCCATTTAACTTTACCCCTAAGAGAACACAAATACAGAATTCTAAGATACCTGTCTCTAGATCTAAAAATTCACCCACATACAGGATACAGGACATTTTGGCTACTTCAGCTTCTCCCATTCTCTAGAAATACCTCCTCCATTTATTGAGTAAAGGCACACATTTAGTTGGAGAGTATCAACAAAAGCAAAGGCTCTATTCTGTGGCCACCTCCAATTTTATTTAACACATTAAGTTCATTCAGTATTGGGTTTTCTTTTGGGGGGATGCTAAAACTGTTTTTTTAAATAAAAATTGTATACATTAAAGGTGTATAACACGATGACTTGCTAAGTTCAATGTTTACTAAGCATATCAAAGCACAGCTCTCCTTCCCACTCCCCTAAAAGTTGTTCCAGTTATTTTACCTTAACAGACAGTTTTTAAACAATGTAAGGTGCTCTTATCTGAGCCACTGGGTAGATCTTGACGCACAACCTTCAACCTCTTTTGCCCCGTCTTCAGTGTAGCAGGGCTAAGCCACTAAACCCCTTCTCTCGGACAGCCTCTCTCGAGTTTGCTCTTTCGTATAACAGCGTTTTCTTCTCTCACTCCACACAAACACTCTGCACTTCCCTGCCCCTAGGTGTATAAAAGGTATTGTCTCCTCTCCTGAACAGCTGCCTGTCTTAACGCTACGCCATTTTTTAAAACACTGCTTTTTCCAGACTGATGACACCTCTTCGGTAGCATTTCTCCTTAAAGAGTGGTTGATACACACGAGGACCCCCTCCCCTTTCATTACCGCTTAGAAAGAACACACAAGTTTACTTTTCCCATTGTAAGGTTAAGAGTCCCTGAGACTTGCCCAGCACTTTCCTGTCCACTCAACGTCCCAGCTGCTGAGCCACGAGAATCCCAAGATAATGGCCCTGGTCGGACTTCGATGAGGCGTGCGCGTCCACCCTCAGCCTCGGCCACACGGTCACCGTGGCCCCCGCCACTCGGCGCCCAGGTTCCCCTCCTAAGACCCGCACTCCGCTTCCCTCCGCGCCAGGCGCTGCATCAACGTTGATCCCATTTACCCACCCCCCGGGCAGCTTCCTTCCTCGGCGCTCTAGGGCTGGGCCCCGGGGCTCACCCTTCTCCCCTTGGACTGAAGAGACGTTTCCTCCCGAGCCTCGGTCGGAGCGTCCCTGCCTCCCTCAGCCCCCACGCTCACCAGCACCATCCCATTCCTCACCGATCTCTTTCTCGTTGACCCTCGGGGGAAAGCTGGCCATCTATGGGGCACCGTTTGATTCCCGGGGAGCGACGCGGACGCAACGACAGAGAAGGGAACGGCGAGCGCAGAGGGGCGTGACGCGGGCTCGGTCCCTCCCGGTCCCGGGGTCAGAAGGGAGGGGCGGGGACGGTCGCGACAGTTTCTGCCGACTTCCCCGGGAATGCTCCGGAAGGCCTCAAACCAAACTACGGAGTCAAACACAGACAATAGACCCTGTTCCTGCCTCACGTTTAAGAACCAAGTCACCTCCTCCTACGTAGTCGACTGCAAAAGAGACACTGGAGACAAAATGGCGGGCAGCGCGGGTGATAGCAGGGCGGAGGGGGAGGGCCTCGTGACGTCCCCGGTGGGAGCCCCGCCTCCGGACTCTCGGGAAGTGATGGCCTGGCTGGGCGCCCCCGCCCTCGTGCGCGCAGGCGTAGTTTGAGGGGACGCGGCCTTCGAGAGAAGGGGGAGGCCGAGCTGCCGCCCCAACGCGGCGGAAGCCGGCTCGCTGGCTAGGAGCCTGCCGACTGTGCGTCTAACTCGGGCTCGGTTTCCCCGCCGGGGGCCAAGTATGATGTGTATTTATAAATTGAAGTGCCTTTAAAAAGGCAAATAGAGCGTTGTATAATACACATTAGCCACAGCTCAAAGATTGCATGAGATTTAGACTGGCTGAACCGAAAAGAACAAGAAAGACATTTCAGACTAACTCGATTTGGCCACATCCCTAGCCTCCACGTACTGGAGGCTGCGCTGGTGAAAAGTGAGATGAGAGAGCAACGCTCTGCACCGCCCGGCAGGCCGCGATGGTTCTGACGTGAGCCAGCCGGTTTTAGGAAGGGCGGTGGTACTAGGCCAGAGGAACCGACGTCCCACCCCACCACGGGACCTCCCTGGGCTACGTTTGTCCGGCTGGTCCCTGCACCAGCGAGGCTGGTGGTCAGCGGTGCTCTGACCCCGACCGCGTGAGCTCAGAAGCGGCCGTTCCGGAGGTAGCCAGCTGTTCACACACTACGGCTGACAAATGTGTCAGTGTCTGCCACAAGCCTAGTTGGTTGCCATTTACACACGTATTTGCATTTTTATGGGCCCTTCTGTGGCCTCTAAACCTTGTTCCAAAGGAGGACATCTCAGGCTGAGAATTTCAAATACGTGGCAGATACTGAGGAGAGAGCAGTTGCATAGTCAAACTTGAGAGATCTCAAAGATAATGCATAGGGCATGTCTGCTTCATCTTTTTCTTTGCCTGAGTGATAATTCTTCCAATAGTGAAATGTTGAATAGCTGATACAAGAAATTTTATCTCCCTTCCTTTGTTATTTTTACATTCAGTCAACATTTATTGACAGATTATTCTGTGCCAGGTAGGAGGCCAGTTGAGCAGAGTAGAACAAAAGAAAAAGTAATACAGTCTTGTAGCCCATATACCAACATTTCTATCAGTCTCTGTTAATTATTTGAACCAACTGCTATTACCTGTGTTTACTTATACCCTGCAAAGAAAGTACCGGTACTTGAGTGTCTTAATCATTTGAGTGGCATTTTCATACTGTTGTTTGATTCCACTGTAGTTTATTCCTGGTAGTCAACAGACTTCCTGACTAATTTCTCAACTGGCAACGAGTGTCAGTGGAATGGAAGATAATTTTATGATTTGTGTACTCATTAGTGATAATATTTAATGTTTATTGGGTCCCTGCAATATGTGAGGCACTGTACCATTTAAGTGCTTTGTGGATTAACCCACAACAGTTTAAGTAGCAAATTAGTCATTCACATTTTACGGATACCTAGTAACATGACAACAGTCGCAGAGGTACTAAGTGGGAAAGTACTTCATTTGAAACCAAACTTGTCTTACTGCCCTGCCCTACTTCCATGCTGTAAACGAGACCTAGCTTGAAAAACCACCATGTACCTGCCATTTATATCTGTGTATTTTAATTCAGATCTGAATGGTGTCTTAACCCCTCATATCCCATAAGGCTGGGGTTCTCCATAGTTCTGTCCTTGGCCCATCACTCTTTTCTTCTTCCACGCTTACGCAGGTGATGGCAACCTCTCTTTGGGGATAACTACAACTCTATGTGAAAACTCTCAAGCCCAGACCTGACTTCTTTCTTGAGCTTAAAATGTATGTATTCAAATACTTTACAATGAAGGTTACCCTGTCAAAACTGAGCATATCTTTTCTCCAAAAGCTGCTCCATCTTTAACATTCCCTGCCCTAGTGAGCATACCTACCCAGTCACCCAAGCTAGAGGCCTGAGTATTCTTAGACTCCTGCCCCTCTCTCTGAGCCCCATGTGGAAGCACTCAATCTATAAGACCTGCCACTGTTTTCCCTTAAATTCTTCTGCAGTCTGTCCTCAGCTGCAACTGTCTTCATTCAAGATCTTGTCATACCATCTCTCTTAACAAGGCATTATAAACCTTTATCCGGAGGAGCCACCACTAATGCCTTGGTGTATTTCCTTATCTCTTTAAAATTGACTAGCTGTATGTCTTTGGGAAAATTATTTAGCTTCTCTGCGCCTCAGTCTTCTCATCCATAAAAATGGGGATAGTAATAATACCTATTTCATAACTTTGAGGACTAATGAGTTTTTTTTAAAAACATGCTGAGTACTTATTATATTCCAGATACAGTGCTAAGTATTTTACATGCATTATTTTATTTATTCCTCAAAACAACCCTATGAATTAGGCACTATTAGATTTCATTCTTTGAAGATGAGAAAACAGACTTGAGAGCTATGCATAAAGTTAAACAGCAGAACCAGACCCTAATCCAGGTCTCTTCCCAGAGTCTAAATTCCAACTAAAAGTGAAACGTCTGTTTCTTCTACTTGAGAGCTAGTTCTAAGAGGGGAGATTAGGTATCTGACTTGTCAGTTCTTCACAAATTTATTGCTTCTTTGTCTTAAAAGGTATATAAACATGGAAAATGATGCAGCCAGTCTAGGTATTTCTACATCTGTTTGAGCCAGAATACTCCTGGTGGCTTATAGGAAATTATGGTATTATATATATCTGAAAGAGTAAGCAGGAGGCCCCTGTCTCCAGTGTCCTGTACAATTCCCTAGTCTTACTGCTGAGCTAACCCAGCTCCATTCCTCCTCTTCTCCTTACCCAAAACTCAGCGCTCTTACCAGCAAACTGTTTTCCTTTAGCTTAGTGCTCCCCTGACCTTCCGGAGAAATCTGTATAAAGTGGAATATTCCATGCTTTGATGGAGATTTTCCTCATATCATTTTTCTCTTCCTCTGATAGAGCTTTGCATTTTCATTATTCTGAATATTTCTACCTGTGACCATTCTGTAGAGATTATAAGGGGGAAGAAAATTATCTTTCATCCACTGCACAAAACACAAGGATTTCTCTTAACTTGTTCTCCCTCTCTGTTCTTTTATTTCTTGTTTGGGAAATACTTCCTGAGTCTTCCCCGTCTCCAGTTGCCTGGCACTGGGGGCAGCCTGTGAGTCAACTGTTTCTCCCTTAAGGTGGAGGACCACAAAGGCATTGGCTCAAATTTGAATCTTCTTCCAGGGGCTCCAGAGAATCCTGCAGACAGCTCCACAGGTTACCTCTACTTGAGCTTCTGGCCCCTGCCAGCCAGTTTTGACCTTGTGTAATGGATTTGAAATCAAGATCTTCCTATCGATTTGCTTTATTTGCTAGTTTATAGCTCATGGTTTTTTTAGGCTGAGGAATTTCTGACAGATTTCCAATACTTCTTCACATAGTTTCTTTTTAAGTTCTTTTTTATCTTCCATATTGTTTTACTTTCTGAATTTGTTTTTTCCTTTGTGTGAAATGAATACTCTTGAAATAATAGAAATGTTTCATTTTCTCTACTTGGTTGTAGGTTCCCTTGGGGGCCATGATCTTTCATTATTTTGGAATCATTTTTAGGACTTTGCACATAATTGATATTCAATAAATGTTTGTTAAATGGACTTGAATTGTATCTTTCATCCAGTTTCCTGATAGGACATTTGAGGTTAATTTAGAAAGCAAGTGTTCCTATTACTGTCTTTACAAAAATAAAGATAAATCAAATTAGAAAGTTTCCTAGTAGTAGAGTTCAAAGATTGAGGCAACTGTGGATTGAAGCCAATAAAAAACATGTTGTATGACTTTGTTTCCATTAGTTTTACATGGGAAAATGTGTATTAAAGAGATTATCTCCAATATATAATTACAAGTCTTCAAGACTAAGCATTTAAACTAATTTCTCAGAGGCATAGCATCATTTTCAGACTCGTAGCTGGAAGGGACCTTAGAAATAATATAGTTAACCTTATTTTACAGGTGATAAAACTGATGTCCGATTACACAAATGACTTTCTCACATTCATATAGCTAGGATGAGAATGAGACATAGCTCATCCTCAGCACTTTTCCTATTGCACTGTAGTTATTTGTGTATGTGTCATTTCCCCCCAAAACGTCCTTAAGTTAATGGAAGACAGGTCTTTTTTATCTTGCTCTTTATGGAAGATAAGAAGGTATGATGCCTGGCAAATGTGGCTGCCAAATGGGTGCTCAGTTAACTCCCTTTGAATTAATTCTTACCTGATGAAATGTGATTCTTCTTGGCCCCATGTTGATGGCTGTATTTATTCATTAAATATTTATTGATTACCTACTATGTCCCAGGTACCATGCTAGTATCAAAGTGAGTTAAAATGAAGATCTTTCAGCTTTGAGTCTATATGAAAACATTACTGTGGGTGTTAATATCTCAATTAGAAAGGAAAGTAAGTGATTTCCCAGCTGATCTAGTTCCTTTTTATAGGTCATTTGCATTTCATAGAATTTTAGTGCTAAAGGGAACTTACAGCTTGATCACATTGTCAGTAAATGGCAAAGCAAGGACCAGATTAAATGTCATCTCCTTCAACATCCAGTATTCTTTCCATCACAAAGAATTCCTTCCTTTCTTTTGCATTTTTGGAATAACATGCTTTTGTTAAACTTATGAGTGTTAATAAAATAAGAGTTCTATATTCTGTTTGGGATAGATATCAAAATGCCTGAAGGAAGATAAGGAAGGACAACAGGGTAGGAAGACAGAGCAGTTGATTCTTAGCCAAAAGAACAGAATATGTCCTAATCATCTGCTTCAAATTATAGGATATTAGAGCCAGAAGGATCCTCAGAGACTGCACAAGCAAGCCCTGTTACTTTCCAGATGAAGATGCTGGAACTCAGAGAAGTTAAGGAGACTTCACCAAAGTCACACAGTAAGTTACTACCAGAGACAGGACTAATATCCAGATATTCTAACTCCCAATCTGTAAGGC